CCATCTGCACCCATCTGCTCTTCCCTTCCACTCCCTGGCCCTTCTTTGCACGCTGATATGACCTTAGCATAATTCATATCTCCTTCCTTCCTGTTCAGCCTCTCAGCTTCGTATGGTGTGTCTTCTCAGGTCACTACCCCTGAGACTTACTTCAGCCTGTTTACCTCAAATTCTAGGACCTTTACCCTGGCTACTGCAGTTTCGACTTGTGCCTCCCAATTCTTCGTCTCCTTCTCCAACCTCTTTTCCCATTTCACAGAGAGCTCTTTCTCCATTTTTTTCAGAAAGCTCTCCTAATTTTCTATCCCATTCTTGCTCTATCCTTTTCCACTGCTCCTCCATCCATTCCTCCCTACCAGTACCATTGTCATCTGATCCCTGATTCCTGCGAGTCCCAACCATTTTTTTTTTAGTGAAAGAGAGAGAGAAAGAGAAAAAGAAAAAGGGGGAGAGAGTGAGAGAGAGAGAGAAATAGAGAGAAGGGGAGGGTAGAAGGAGGGGAAAAGAAGGGAAAAGGGGGGAGAAAGTGAGAGAGAGGGAAAAGGTAAGAGAGAGGGGGGGAGTGACGAGGGAAGAGAGAGAGAGAGAAGAGGAAGAGAGTAAGAGAGGAAGAGAGAGAGGGAGAGAGAGAGGAAGGGAGAAAGAGAGAGAGGAAGAGAGAGAGGAAGAGAGAGAGAGGATGAGAAGAGAGGATGAGAGAAAGGGGGAGAGAGAGGGGAGAGAGAGAGAGAGAGAGAGAGAGAGAGAGAGAGAGAGAGAGAGAGAGAGAGAGAGAGAGAGAGAGAGAGGAAGAGAAAGGAGAGGAGAGGAGAGGGAGAGAGATGGGGGGGGGAAGGAAGGGTTAGAGGGTCACTTCACAGGAAGGTGTGAAATCCTGTATGTGTGTGTGTGTGTGTGTGTGTCTGTATGTGTGTGTGTGTGTGTGTGTGTGTGTGTGTGTGTGTGTGTGTGTGTGTGTGTGTGTGTGTGTGTGTGTGTCTGTATGTGTGTGTGTATGTGTGTGTGTGTGTATGTGTGTGTGTGTGTGTGTGTGTGTGTGTGTGTGTGTGTGTGTGTGTGTGTGTGTGTGTGTGTGTGTGTGTGTGTGAGGGAAAAGAAAAACGAAAAAGAACCCTTTTCTTGTAAAGATTGTTGAATGGCCTGTTAGTGCAATCAGACTGTCAGTTTTAAAACTTCCTGCATTGTTTCCACCACCATTCAAGACCACCACACCAGCAACCACCACCACCATTCAAGACCACCACACCAGCAACCACCACCACCATTCAAGACCACCACACCATTAACCACCACCACCATTCAAGACCACCACACCAGCAACCACCATCACCATTCAAGACCACCACACCAGCAACCACCACCACCATTCAAGGCCACTACACCAGCAACCACCACCACCATTCAAGACCACCACACCAGCAACCACCACCACCATTCAAGGCCACTACACCAGCAACCACCACCACCATTCAAGACCACCACACCAGCAACCACCACCACCATTCAAGACCACCACACCAGCAACCACCATCACCATTCAAGACCACCACACCAGCAACCACCACCACCATTCAAGGCCACTACACCAGCAACCACCACCACCATTCAAGACCACCACACCAGCAACCACCACCACCATTCAAGACCACCACACCAGCAACCACCACCACCATTCAAGACCACCACACCAGCAACCACCATCACCATTCAAGACCACCACACCAGCAACCACCACCACCATTCAAGGCCACTACACCAGCAACCACCATCACCATTCAAGACCACCACACCAGCAACCACCACCACCATTCAAGACCACCACACCAGCAACCACCACCACCATTCAAGACCACCACACCAGCAACCACCACTTAACCTGTCCACGACTTAAAAAGTATTGCATCATAAAATATCTTTGGAGCGGAAAGCCTGGTTATTGGGTAATCTTCCCTAATTGAGGTTCCTTGATGCCAGCTAGAGGCTCTTGATCCAAGAAATTGGACTTGACCCCTCCTTCCTTGGATCTAACCTGATTCCATCTCAATCTCCAGGTATTGCATTACTATGGGTTTAGCGCTTCCACTCAAATAATAGTAATAATTATAATAATTTAATCTCACATGTAGCAGAGTATAGAGGTACCTCTCCCTGCTCTATGAGCTCATCAGACCTCTTCTTTAAAGCTGTGTATGGATCCTGCCTCCACTACATCACTCTCCAGATTGTTCCACTTCCTGACAACTCTTTGACTGAAGAAATACTTCCTAACATCCCTGTGACTCATCTGAGTTTTCAACTTCTAGCTGTGACCCCTTGTTGCTGTGTCCCATCTCTGAAACATTCTGTCTCTATAAACCTCGTCAGTTCCTCTCAATATCTTATATGTCGTTATCATGTTCCCACTATCCCTCCTGTCGTCCAGTGTCGTCAGGTTATTTCCCCTAACCTCTCCTCGTAGGACATACCCCTTAGCTCCGGGACTAGTCTTGTTGCAAACTTTCGCTGATTTCTTGATGTGTTTGGTCAGGTGTGGATTCCATACAGGTGCTGCATACTCTTAATATGGGCCTGTTGTACACAGTGGACAGTGTCTTGATTGATTCCTTACTTAGATGTCAAAACGCTATTCTTAGGTTTACCAGGCTCCCATATGCTGTAGTAGTTATTTGGCTGATGTGCGCCTCAGATGTGCTCGGCATGATGCTCACCCCTAAGAGCCTTTTCCTTGAGTGAGTTTTGCAGCCTTTGACCTCCTAGTCTTCTTTGTCCATCCCCAAACTTCATGACTTTACACTTGCTGGGGTTAAACTCCAGGAGCCATTTGTCGGACCAGGCTTGCAGCCTGTCCAGATCTCCTTGTAGGCTTACCTGATCCTTACCTGTGTGTGTGTGTGAGAGAGGGAGGGAGGGAGGGAGGGTGAGTGGGTGGGTGGGTGGGTGGGTGGGTGGGTGGGTGGGTGGGTGGGTGGGTGGGTGGGTGGGTGGGAGGGAGGGAGGGAGGGTGGGTGGGGAGGGAGGGTGGGTGGGAGGGAGGGAGGGTGGGAGGTAGGGTGGGAGGGAGGGAGGAAGAAGCTGCCTGATCCTCTGGGTGGCACATAAACTGGGTTATAACATTAAGTCAGCTGTGACCTAAGGAGACGTGTAGTGTTCTATTCTCTCATGTATTACACTCTCCTGTACATGTATCAAACTTATATCATCATTATTTTTTTTTACCACACTGGCCATCTCCCAAGGTAGAATGACCCCCCAAAAAGGAAATATTCACTATCATTCAGTCAGTGGCTATCTTCCCAGAAATGCAGGGAGGTCAAAACTCGAATAATCCTCCAAACTGTAACATCCCCACCCATCCTTCAGATTGACAGCACTGAAATTCCCACCTCCAGGACTCAAGTCTGATTACCAGACAAGCCAGGCTCTAGGAGTAGAAAAATTCTCAGAACTCATCAAAGTAACCGGTTACCTTGCTTACATTCCAGTATCATCCGTCAAATCACTAAAAAAGAAAACTTTAATCTCTGCTGACTCCAGTCTAAAAAAAAAATCATGAACGTCTGCTGGATATTCAAGCCCCCAACCACTTAAAACCTTTTTAAAATTCTCCTTTATTCCCTTCCTGGGGTACCCCCTACCCCATCCTTCCTTCCTTTCACCCCAAATTTATATAACATTTTATTGTCCTGTTCTACTGCGCTTTTTCTGAATGCCCAAATCAATTAACAGCCACTTCTTTGCTCTCTGAATAATACCTCACACTGTCTTCTAATTTCCGTGTTCCGAATTCTTTGCATAATATTTACACCACAAGTTGCTCTCAAACATATCTGCACTGCTTCCAGCCTCCTCCTCACTGCAATGTTTAAAGCCCATTCCTAACACCCATAGAAAAAGATGAATGGTTCAGAGAACCGACATGTTGATAAATTAGACACATGTGCAACTCTTGGGTATCTTTATTGAGGAAACGTTTCGCCACACAGTGGCTTCATCAGTCCATACAAAGGAGAATCTTGAAGAATAGGAGGAGAATGAGGTAATCAGTCCCTCAACCTTGAGTCGATGTGGTCAGTCCATCAATCTTGAATAGAATACGGCATACGTGCTGAGAAGGAGCTTATATACCGTTGGCAGGAGAGGTGAAGCAGTCAGAGGCAGTGTAACACTTATTCAATGTTGAAGTAGGTCGTGCCCAAGAATTAGGCAAGCGAAGAATTCCCAAGTATTAAGATCCCAAGAAGATGCAGTGTCTGACAGCTTTGTAGATGAATGGTTCAGAGAACCGACATGTTGATAAATTAGACACATGTGCAACTCTTGGGTATCTTTATTGAGGAAACGTTTCGCCACACAGTGGCTTCATCAGTCCATACAAAGGAGAATCTTGAAGAATAGGAGGAGAATGAGGTAATCAATCCCTCAACCTTGAGTCGATGTGGTCAGTCCATCAATCTTGAATAGAATACGGCATACGTGCTGAGAAGGAGCTTATATACCGTTGGCAGGAGAGGTGAAGCAGTCAGGGAATTCTTCGCTTGCCTAATTCTTGGGCACGACCTACTTCAACATTGAATAAGTGTTACACTGCCTCTGACTGCTTCACCTCTCCTGCCAAAGGTATATAAGCTCCTTCTCAGCACGTATGCCGTATTCTATTCAAGATTGATGGACTGACCACATCGACTCAAGGTTGAGGGACTGATTACCTCATTCTCCTCCTATTCTTCAAGATTCTCCTTTGTATGGACTGATGAAGCCACTGTGTGGCGAAACGTTTCCTCAATAAAGATACCCAAGAGTTGCACATGTGTCTAATTTATCAACATAGAAAAAGAGTTGGTATTACTGTACTCTGGTATGTGCATAACTGTTTTCTCCTTCATATGTAAAATTCTCTCCACAAATGCCTCCACACTCGGTCTACTTTTTTTCCTTCATATAGTCTATAGTTCACCTAGTCTGCTGACACAATTTAATCAATATTACTTTTTTTTTTTTCAACAAGTTGGCCGTCTCCATATCCACAGATTCGGCTTGTGCAGTTTCAGTTATCCGCAGTTTGCCATGGCCCGAAAATAACCCTTAAATTTGCTTAATAATGGCCCCAGAGCACAAATGTAGTGATGGTGGCAGTTCTTCAAAGCCTACAAGAAGCCGTGAAGTGCTTCCCATTAGTGAAAAAGTGCATAATTTATCAATGAAACTTTGTCATAGGCATGTACGTATGTAAATGAAAAAAATGACATACTGTATACTGTAAGGTTCACTACTATCTGCAGTTTCAGGTATCCACAGTAGATCTTGGAACATATCCCCCATGGATACGGGGGACTACTGTATTCACATGAAGCTCTAAACTCATATTGGTCATTCAGCAATGGAACATATAATGATGTTAGTGACCTTTAATTACTGGTAATCATTTTTACTGATGAAACAAGAGATCGTTCAATATTTTGTGCTAGGTGTGCTGGTCTTTTCTTTCTGTTTCATTTATGAGCAGGAAAATCTTACAAACCTTTAATAACATTCATTGTAGACTTACCTTTACTTTTCAGTATGTTTCTTAATAGTTCTTATTCCTGTAACATTTTCCTTCCACTCTAAGAAGCTTGGTCTAAGACCTGGCTGCTGGAATGATTTGTATTTGTAACAACCTGTAGCAACGTATATATAGTAATGTTGTCTCCTGCAGACGCAGATATTGGAGCGCATGGTTGGTGACCGTGTGTGTGTTACCCGACCTGAAGAGGACCGCCGGAGAAGGACCATCATCGTTGAGAAGGAGAACAATTCCTTTGGTTTCACCATCCAGGTGAGAGGGTGTTCTCAGCCACTTGTTGTTATGTAGGTTTTAGCAGCTCAAGATCTTCTTCTGGGCCTTGCATCATGGATTAGATTTTTAAGGGATTCTAAATGTTGAGTTAAGTGTCTTCCAGGAACCTGGATATTTTAGGTGCTTTGGGGAAGAGGTTTAGAATGCACGTGAAAAATATTTCCAAGCTGGGAGGTGTATAGTGTAAATAAATGCCTATTTTAAATTTAAACATATATGTACTGTACATAATAGATGTAAATTAATTTATTTCTGTATTTTCTAATAAAATGTATACACACTATTATCCTGGAATTACATTAAATAGTCATAGAATGGGAGATAAATTGAACATACAATGTTCAATTTTCAGGGAGCTGAGGGGCCAAAAAAAGCAAAAGGCTGAATAAAGACAATAATGGATTTCATTATACTGCAGTTGTTTTTATTCATCTTGTCAGTATTTTATATCATTTCTCTCCAAAGAAATGCATTTGGCTTAAGAGAGATTTTTCTGAAATCTTGGTGAATGATTTAGAATAGGGAATAAGAAGTAGGGTTTTGACATAGCCACAAGGTCTAACTCTAACTTTTCTCCTCCTCAGCTATGGGTAACTCCACTCCTCCACAGAGCTATAACAGATACAGTCTCCACTTTACCTCCACAGAGCTATAGCAAATATTAAATCCACATAGCTATGATAAGCACAAACTCCAATCCTCTACTGTTATAACACTAACTCCACTTCTTCACATAATTTTTGCATACTAAATATGAATTCCACTCATCCACAAAGCTATAACAAGAACTAACTCCACTCTTTAGAAGTCCTATAAGACTAACTCCACTTCTCTTTCACAGAGCTATGGGATCCACTATAAGAAGGATGGTGAAATAGAGGTAATCACTTATGTAGACTTCGTGGAATATTCAGGACCTGCCTTCAGAGCTGGCATGAGGCAAGGTATGTAACATCCCTACTTTGAACTCACTGTTATTATGTTCATGGGAAAACACAACATCTGCAGGGGTCATACACTGTCTGGGCAGTGGGAGGTAATCAGATGTCCAAGGGAGGGAATGGTAGCTCCAATTCTTCGGATCAAGAAACCTTCAGTGGCTTCAGGTCACATGCTGTCCCACTCAATGGAGCTTCAGGTCATTAGACCAATGCCTTCCACAGGATTATGCACATCGTAAGATATTGCAAGGTCTCTATCCCCTACAAAATCAAAAGGACACCACAGAGCAGTGCCCTAAGCTCAGGTGTATCTCACAGGCCCGTTTAAAGAAAGACTGTAATGTATGACACATTCATAGTATATACACAAGGAAAACTATGGGATAAAATTGTTCACAGACCTATAAATTTAACATTTTAGTTTGTAGATGAATGGTTCAGAGAACCGACATGTTGATAAATTAGACACATGTGCAACTCTTGGGTATCTTTATTGAGGAAACGTTTCGCCACACAGTGGCTTCATCAGTCCATACAAAGGAGAATCTTGAAGAACAGGAGGAGAATGAGGTAATCAGTCCCTCAACCTTGAGTCGATGTGGTCAGTCCATCAATCTTGAATGGATTGATGGACTGACCACATCGACTCAAGGTTGAGGGACTGATTACCTCATTCTCCTCCTGTTCTTCAAGATTCTCCTTTGTATGGACTGATGAAGCCACTGTGTGGCGAAACGTTTCCTCAATAAAGATACCCAAGAGTTGCACATGTGTCTAATTTATCAACATTTTAGTTAATTGTTTTGGCTTTTTATAAACTTGGTTTTCTATAGTTGTATTTTTCCTATGCTATTCACTTTTATTAAGGGATCATTTAACCCCTTCAGGGTCCAAGGCCCAAATCTGAAGTGGTGCCCCAGTGTCCAAGAATTTAAAAAAAAAAAATTATTTTTTCTTATGAAATGGTAGAGAATCTTTTTGTGAAGGTAATAAAACAAAAAGTACGAAATTTGATGGAAAATTGACGAAATTATGCTCTCGCGAATTTTGATGTCAGCGATATTTACGAATCGGCGATTTTGCCGACTTTGACTCCCATTTTAGGCCAATTACTTTATTCCAGTCAACCAAATTCTTAACTATTTCACTAGTATTACTTCTATTCTATCGATTGAGCACAAGAAATCGCCAAGTCAACTGTTTCAACTACAAATTAAAGTGATCGGAAATTGTTAATTTGGCCAATTTAACACAAAGTTCAAAATATTCAAATTTCAAAATAGGGTCCAGAATAAACAATGTAGGTATTCCTGGAACTAAACTAACATTTCCTCTGTTCATTAGTTATGTTTTGAGGCTTTACAAATAAATTCCATTTTGATTTTTTATTCACATAATGAATTTTTATTCACACCAAAAAATAGAAGATTTACTGTTATGCAATACTGTAATAATTGTATAAATATCATCACCATATTTGTGAATGCATATTAGACCCTCTAGCTGGCGTGTATTAGACGTGTGAGGTCGTTTGTTTACTCTTGAATATCGGCAAAAATTTAACATTTCTGCTACTTTGAGCTCAGTTTCAAGCCATTTCCAGTGCTGAAACCAATCAAAATTATCTCTATTTCTGTAATATGTCTTCCATTCTATCAAATGAGACCAAGAAATCGCAAATAGATCTATAAAAAACATAAGAAAAAACACTACAAAGTCGCTGTTTTAATCGAAAAATCATGATTACAGTTTTTTCTCTCATTATACACAGCGTGCTGTAGGATCTGTTCTATGTGGTGCACACATACCACATAGATGTATTCTCTCATATCTAGGCCCAAATGTACCATTCACAGTTTATCAGAGTGAGCTGAGCTCATGACGTAGATCTACGGTTTGGACCCTGAACGTAAAGCCGTAGATCTACGGGACGGACCCTCAAAGGGTTAATAGAGTAATGATAAATATTTATTTTCCATAACATTAGTTTACTTATGCTTATTTTAAATATCCACAGGAGATGTCATTCTATCCATTAATGGACATGATATGGAGAAAGCTGATCACAAAGCCTTGGTCAACTTCATCCAGGGTTGTGGTGACAGGATGCGTATGGTGGTCCTCTTTGAGGACTGTGTCCACAAGGTAACTTCTCTGATTACTACTTCAATTATCAAGCTATTTTTATAAGGTGAAATATTCATCTTTTCATTTTTACAAGTGTGGCATAGTGCAGGAGTCACAAATGGATGATTTTCGGATGACAGCACACTGTGAGCATGTTCCATCTGATTCCCTCTTGCTTGACTTGCTGAATAATGTTGAATATAGGAAATGAAAGGCCTCATTCTCTTTGCTGTACCCCTGTGGTGTTGTATGCATTCTGTAGTATAAAGTAGCCAGATGTGGTATAGGTCAATAACTTGCAAATGAGTTACATATCTGGTGTTTTAGCTTAGAAATGAAAAATAGTGATCGATAACTAAAATTTACTCCAAAATACTTGAGAGAACATGCAATACATGTAAGTGTAGCCCCGGTTAGGGCACCAAAATATTTAAGAGAAAGTGCAATACATATAAATGTGGCCCCAGTTAAGGTAAAAACTATCAAGTAAGTGTTTCTGGTCTCAACTTACATTTCATTTTATTCTCTTCAATAATATGGTCTGCAACAAAATCCATATGATGAAAGTATGTTTATGGCAGTTATTCATTGTATTTGCCTGTATCATCAGGTGGAACTGCACATGAGGTACATCCAGCTGCAGCGTCTTCTGCAGGAGAAAATGGCTGACCTGGAGCGCTTGTGTCATCAGGAGAAGTCACTGCTAGCTGGTAAGTTGGCAACTTCCCCAGTGCGTCACGCCTTCAACATCGCTCACGCCCGCTTGATGGATTGGCTGAGGGCACAACGCCGGCTTCTCCCGCCTCCCCGGGACCTCACCTGCCTCATCCCAGTTTCACTCTCCACTTCCACCACTACCTCCACCCTTCATACACAGACTGCTGCTGCCCACCACTCCCATTCTGCTGCAGCTCACCGCCACCACCCAGGTGTCCCACACAGTTGCAAGCACTCAGCAGGAGTCTCCATGCATGGCCACATACACCACACTTCCAGCCTCACCTACCAGGAGGATGACCCCATTTCAGAAGACAGTGGGCGGAGATATTCCCGAAGAATGAGTGGCAGGTCCTCACCACAAGTACAAGACAACAAAAGTCAAACTTCCATTGTTAAGGCACAAAGTGAAATTAGGAATGTAGAGAAGATTTCATCACCCTCTTGCACAGTAGCCTCTCCTACAGATTCTGTTCACCATAAAGATAGTAGTGTGTATAGCTTCATGAGCTGGAACGCAAGTACTTACTCTGATATTAGTATTAATCCTCGTCTTACACACAGTCAGGTTGCTAGTTGTAGGGTTCCATGGGGCTCAGATAGACTTTATGCAAATGCATCTAGTGACTTTCATAGCTTGCCTTGTGGAGGAGGGCCCATGTATCCCATTGCATCACCACAGCCTTCCAGTGGCTGTGGTGATCCAATGTGTTCCGCAAGCCATTCTCTTATGTTTGGTTCTGAGTGGAAACAGCAGATGTTAGGTAATAAGGAAACTGGGGATAATAGGAAAATGGTAGAGGATAAAGAAGGTAAAGGTTTCCATAGTCACCGCCGAGCTCTCAGTGCAGAGGCCTGGAGATATCCTCGGGACAGGGAAAGCTGGCATGAGGGAGAAATAAACAAGTACAGAAAAAATCAGGCTGCTTTAGATGCTCCTTATGGTAGTGACTCTGTCTCACAAGATGGGACACTTCTAGCTAAATCCAAAAGCATTGGCCCCAAAAGAGGAAGCTTTAGTAGGAAAGATAGCTTTAAACAATTAAGTCGACAGAACAGCAAAAGTGGGAGACCTGAAATTCCCAAAAAGAATTCTCCAACAATGGAAGATGTAAGCAGGAAAATGAAGCCACCCTTTAAGATGAGTAAAGCATATTCCATATCATGTATGCCAGGTGACCACTGCCTCGCTTATGACTCTGTAATTAAAGAGTTTAAAACATCTGTTACTCATGAAACTAAGAAGGAAGAAGAACCTAAATCTCCATTTGAAAAGATGAGTCTTAGTGGTCTAGAAACATATGATCGTAGTCCAAAACATTCACACGGTCCTAAACAGGCATCCATATTTAATTATTCCACATCAAGTTTACCACATCGTAGGAATTCTAGGAGTAAAAAGAAGAGAGAGTCTAGTTCATCACATCGAGTAAAATCTAATTCCCTGGATGAAGACAAGTTAACCAGTATATCTGGCTCTGATGATGGCCAAAAAATTGAGTATGGTTTAGAAGACAATAGGGAATCTAGTTCTGAAGTATCTTCCCATGTCCGACCATCTGAGCTACATCTACATCAGTTTTTATCTTTACCCTACACATCTGGCAGACTTACAACTTCACCCACAGAGAACTCTCCCATGATTGTACGTGGAGGCTCTTTTCATGCCCCCCACAGACCCAGGCAAAACTCTGGGGAAAGGCACTGGAGTCTTTCTAGACCAAAAAAGGGTACTCCTTCAAGCACTCGTGAATCTAGTAGATCAACTCATAGGCAACGCTCGTGTAATTCGCTGTGCGAAAATTCTTTTGAGAAAATAAGAGATGGCCCACAAAAGAAAGCTCCGTCAATCAGTCGTTCCGAGTCTCTTCGGTTATCATCTCAGTCTTTGACTAGTGCTTTTATCACAAGAGAATGTATAAAAGGATCTTGTACTCACAGCATTAAACCACTTCCAACTAACAGGATTCAGATTAAATCAAGTAGTCTTGAGAACAGGCAGGATGTGGGAGATGGATCAAATTCTTTCATAATGAACCGCATAGGTTGTTTTGTTAAAGATGATTTGTCATCCAAGGAGACTTGTGGCAGTCCTGCTACATGGAGAAGAACAGTGAGAGAAGATAGACAAAACCAATCTTCCAGTGAAATGTTTAGTAGAAAACCTGAATGGAGTAGTAATCTTGCAGAGAAGAATAAATGGAAAGGTTCGAGTACAATCCGGCGAGAAGGGGGACATAAGGATGGTGGGAGGGAAATAGAAGGGAGGATTAGCATAACAGCAAATAAGAAGGGTGAGGAAACAAGAGCTTGGCAAACTCAACGAAAAGGGTCATTCAAGTCTTTGTCAAAACAAAAGTCATGTCAACAGGATTCAACACATCATCACTCTGCTAAGCACGAACAGCAACAGCCGGGGCGTAAGAGCCGTCCAGATTCTTTATATTCATGGACTGGAAGCTGTGACCGCTTAAGTTCAGCAACAGATCACTCAGGCAGGACAGTAGTGTCGGCGCGATCACGTTCTCTCTGCACTGATTCATTAGTCACTCCAGCACGTGATGTGCCAAACTCGGCTGGTGATGTGTACCGTTTTGCTCCTCCTCCACAGGAACCCAGAGTAAGATCAGATTCACTGGAAGCTCGCTGGTCATCAGACAACTCTCTCGAGGATCGTCCAAATGATGGACGCACTCCTACTAATTATGATAGCTTATACTCAGAAGTATCCAGTGAATCATCTGTGTATGGCACACCTTTGCCTCGACAATGTTTAGTGCCTCGGGAGGATCGTGGTATTTTATCTGACGATGAAGCCTCTGTTGATCTTGATGCTGCACCACGCCCTCGAAGAAGCCAAGCATCGCGCAGGAGAAAGTCACAAGGCTCTCGAACAAATGATGAAACGCCAGTTGTTGGGGACAGGAATGCCTTTACCCCACCAGCCTCATCATATCCACCCTCTTGGCCAGGCATACCCTCTAGAGCTGCATCCTCTCCTCATGGCTCTTCAAATGGTGAATGGTTTCAGGCTGGGGATGTGAGCCGAACAGTTGGGGCTCTGGCTGATTCCTTATCTGCATATCGTACCAACCTTGTTTAAGCAGATTTATTGGTGTTTTCATTTCAGCATTTAAATTTCAGCCTTATACTTTATAGGATTAATGTTTCTATATGTTTTGAACTGTTCCCTAATTCCTATCACAGTCAGTGCAATGATAGTTTGTTATTAATATAAAAAAGTTCCTGTTAGTTCGAATGATTTACTGAACCTATGTATGGCATGTTAATGTTTCAAGCATGTTTTATCATATGGATTATTATAGATGACCTTATACTGTAGCTCTAGCATGAAGCACAATGATTTAAGCCATTCCATTATTGTCTCATTTAAAGTTTTCAATATTCATAATGCCTATCGTCAATATACAGTATTTGTACCTTTCACTGTAAATAAAATAGTGCACTCCCTAAGCTTGGACATACTATAATACATGAAATTTGCTTTTTTTACGTGTTCAGGAGTTCTTTCACTCATTTTACTGATAGCAGATTTTCTTAATGGATCATTAAAAGGCCTTTTCATCACAAAAAAGCCTCCCTGAACACGTTAAAAGCTTGAACTGAGAACGGTTGATGCCATCATACCATAGCTTGACTCACACTTGCACTTGCACTATACAGTATTCCATTTTCATGGGTAAAAGGTTGAACTGTTGTTCCTGTGTCAATGTGATAGCAGGACTGGTCAGTATGGCAGCAGTTGATCTCAGTGCAACCTAGCACCACATCCTTCAACTCAGATTGACGCTTCATTGCCTGGTATGGTGGTTTCTTCCTCAGCATGGCGGGCCCAGGGTTTCCGCATCCCTCAGCACCCGGTGTCCGGCCGTCAGCCCCAGCACCTGTACCATCACCATCACCACCACCAGCACCACCATCACCACCACCGGCAACTGCTTCCTGCCTCGAGCACCACCTCATCCCCCCTGCCTACATCCTCTAGGGTGCTGCCCCCACCCCTCCAGTACCGCATACCCCCTGCCAGCCCTTGTAGTGCCCAGAACCCTGTAAGGCCTCCACAGGAGCATTGGAGTACCATGTCCTCCAACGCCTCCCAGTCTCGTGCTCCTTCACCTCTTCACCATCACCGCCAGCACCATCACCAGCAACAGTACCTCCAGCTCAACTGTTCCCCTGGTGCTATACGACGGCCAAAAGTATCATCAGAGTGCAGTTCTCCAGCCCAGACTGGCCACACTGCAACAAGTTCAGCACAAAGCGTTGCCCAGCAACAGTGGCAACAGTGTAAACCCCGATCTTGGGATAACTTACTCTCGACACGAGGATTTGGTGGCTATGGGTTTGGATATGGATTTATTGATACAATTCCACCTCGGGGAGCTGGCAGGGGTGATAAGATGCATTCATACAGTACTCACCGACTCAGGGAAGATGACAAGGAAAATATGGTGAGGGGCGGGGGAGGAGTACGACCAGCACCACGCTCCTCAGAAAATCTTGTATCACCTCTGGATGGCTCCTGCTTCTCTTGTGATTGCTTAAACCTTGATCCAGCACCTCTTCACACCTGCCTCTTCTCCAAGCCTAAGAGCACAGAAAGCCTTTTGGCACCACGTTCCCTCCATCCTGCTGCATCCGACTCCAGCTTAGCAGGAGAGTCACAGCACACTAGGCGGCGGTCACGTGCTGCTTCCCTTGCTGACTGTCTTGGCGCCACCAGACACTCCCCGCCTGATCGCGATGAGATGACACATCTGTGACATTGCTTGTGAATTCATTACTTCTGCTTCACCAACACAGTTCTAGAATGAAATAACCTTGAAAGCAAAAAAAAAAAAAAAGAAATATAATTACAATACAGTAGCTTTAAAACTGCAAGAATAAAAATAAAGACACTTCTTTATAATTATGCACCTTTTATAATTCTAAACAGTTTTCTTTCCTCTATTAGACCTCACAATAAATATTTTTATCATAGGGGAATTAGAAAATTACATTTTTTTGTTTATTTTAAAGACTACAGCATTGTACATCACATTGTCGCACAAAGAAAGTCAAGGGTTTTAGTGGCATTATTAGCTCTTGAAAACTTAGGTATGCAGTATATTAGTTTTTTAACAACATAAACCAGATATGCACAAATAACTTGAACATTCTCGTGTTCTGCCTTGCATTATTATATCTAAAAATGTCGCTGTTTTACAGAGAGAGCTTTGTTCGTAATCAAAAGGTCTTGGGCTCATTAATGGTTTCATCACCTTCAAGCATGTTATGTATGACACTTAACAAGAATATTAATGTAGAGAACAGTTCTGACTCTGAAATACACAAAACTTTTATTCCAGACCTGTAATTTTTGGAAACTCTGAAATCAACTGTAAACAGCATCCAGTATCATGTACATATAGTGTTGAATGCTATCTACTAGGAAAAGGTTTACCATAGTAATGCCCATGGTTATTCTAAACATTCAGTTGAGATTTGAACTTTAAGGATAATAAAATGGCAAGATATAATCTTCACATTCCTTACATATTTTAGAAATCACAACTTTGCAAATTTAAAGGCTAAGATATATTACAGTATACTGCAAATCACATACAGATATTTTTATTTTAATATGTAGTAAAATCAATTTGTGTCTATAGGTATTTTTTATTTTAAAATGCAGTAAAATCAATTTATGTCTAATCAATCACATATTCCCTATCTCATTGTTATTGCTGGAGAGTACCTGTTCTCACTCTTTAAAAGTTTGAATTTCTTAAACTTGTTGCATATACAAAAAATCCATTATATATTAAATTCCTCAGTGATAAAAAAAAATGCACAGCATGTAATGTGCACATATGTATTACAATCTTTCGTACTTTTGTTATCACATTTGTAACCCCAGAAGACTAGTCAGCATTAGTTCACCATGATGTTGGTGGATTACAATAAGCAAGAATGTTTCTTTTAAAGATTCTACTTGGATTACAAAAATAAAATGTTTTGATTCCAGTTAAGAGCATTTGTTAGCAGTAGAGATAGGTGTAGAGTGAAATGTGGGTTGAAATTTTACCTGTTCCCCTCACTGCTATGTAAATGTGATGCAGTGTGTGGAGCAGGTGGCATTGAGATAGTTGTCATGTACAAATCAGCAGATTTGTAACAGTTATATAAAATTATTTTGTCATATAGTATAAGTCAACCCTGGAACATCTTTTTGGTAAGGACAAGTGTTGAAATCACAAGGTATCAAGGTAATGCCCTTTCTAGTAAGGACTATTAAGGTTCAGTAATAAGTGTCAAAGATTATGTCCTTTCTAGTAAGGTAAAGTCAACTACAGATGTAGTGTACTATAACAATGTGTCAACGTAATGTCTTCTTTAGTAAGACAACTATTGAACAGTAACAGGGTGTCAAGGTCATGTCCTTTCTCATGAGGTCAGTTATTCAAGTACAGTAACAAGTGTCAAAGATAATGTCCTTTCTAGTAAGGCCAATTACTGAAGTACAGTAACAAGGTGTCAAGATAATATCTTTCTCAGTTATACAAAACGTCAGGCAAAGGGGAAAGTGAAAGATGTCACATATTGTGTTTTTATACAGAGTAATTATTGTTGTACAGTTTTACGGAACACAGTGTCCTAGATTGTTATATATTGAGTCATAGTATATAAATACATTGCCATTAACTTGTGCCAAAGAAACTTCTCAGTAATCGTAGCAGTATTCCAAGTTAATTATGAATGTGGATGAAAGAGGAATAACCACTAACTTGAGCTTGTCTTGCTTCTTCATACTGTGGTTCATTATTACCTGTCAAATTATACTAGCCTGTGTTTGCCTTACTTCATCATACCATGTTACATGAATACTTGTCTAGCTGTATTAACCAGTTTTTTTATGATCCCATGAAAAACCTGAGCTTGTCTTATATTATGCCATGGTACATTATTGCCTCATTCTATTTTCATTTATGTTTCAGATAACATCTTTATGTTTTTATTTTTATAATAATTATCTAAATATTTTGGTAACTAAATTTACCATACAAATAGAACAACTTAACATTTTGGATTTCATAAATTTTCCAATATGATTTGTCCAGCATGAATAAATACTATAAGCAATTTGGTAAGTAAGCATGATTTTTAACTTATATTCATAAAGATAGCATACTTATGAATATACAGTTAAACATCGGCCATTCAGTCTTCCTTGGAAAACTTGTTGATAATGGGCCAATTCCATTAGCTCAAGTGACCTGAGGTGAGGTGACACTAGTTTTTGTAATCACTGCTTAAAACCTATAATACAAATGTCAACTCAATTTACTTAGTTTATCTACGGTGCTTAATTACAAGCATCGGGTATATAGTACTACATAAAGATTTCCTTCGCTATTTTTATGTAAAATTCACTAATTACAGACATATGTCCCATCAGGAATGTAACTACACCTGTACATGTATACTTGCTGGCAACTCTAAAGCACAAACATTGATTTTTTACATATGGATTTAAACAGATTTCTCTATATACATTACTGTACATTATTTTACTGTTAGATTATCATCTCTTATTAAAAGTTAACCAATTATAGCACACCACAATGCCAATAAATGCAGTATTACATAAAGGCAATAAAAGCTCTTGAATAGCGAGTAGAAAATGGAGTAGTCTATAAAGTAGACCATCAAATAATCACGTTTTCATCACTATGTCAATGTTACATGTCTGACATTTTCAGCCAAAGTAAAATACGTACTTATGTTGCTTAGAGTACGAGCTGAAGAGAAACCCTTACCATACTACTTCACAAAGTAATGTGCATGACAATGGAGTAAGGCATGCTGCAATCCCTTCTTCCTTTCCCCTCTCCCTCCCTCTCTTCTTTCCTCACTCCCTCCCTACTTCTCTCCTTTCCTCCCTCCTATTCTTTCCTCACTCCCAACCTCTCTCCTTTCCTCTCTTGCTTCCTACCTCTCCTTTCCTCCCTCCCTCCCCAAAAAATCACCTCTGTGACTCTCGTAAATGGAAAAACCTTAATAACTGTTAATCTACACTCCTAGGGTTATTTAATATGCAGTAGAGTACAAC